GAGAAATAAGCCTACAGGCAGAATGCTCTTAGTAAGAGTAATCTATAAAGGTTAACTATAATTATTATTATTTTTTAGTTGTAGATGGACACAATATCTTTATTCATTTATTTATTTATTTTTATGTGGTACTGAGGATCAAACCCAGGGCCTCACACCTGTGAGGCAAGTGCTCTACCACTGAGCCCCAGCCCCAGCCCCTAACTATAATTATTAACAAAAGTTAGAGGCCAGGTCTGGAGGAGTCTTAAGATCCTATCCACAGCAAGGTTGGAGAGCCAGGTATGATGGCACACATCTGTAATCCCAGCGAATGGGAGGCTGAGGCAGGACTGCAGGTTTGAAGCCAGCCTCAGCAAGTGATCAACCAATGGAGACCTGTCTCAAAATAAAATATAAAAAGGACTAGGGATGTAGCTCAGTGGTTAAGCACCCCTGAGTTCAATCTCTGGTACTTAAAAAATATATATTAAATATATATAAATATATAATTCATTTTATATTATATATGAACATAAAATTCATATATAAGATAAATTATATATTTATATATATATTTAATATAAATAAATATTTTTATCACATATTCAGTAAGGAATACTGAGGTGCTTATAATCCATCCAGTAATTTGAAAATAAGAACTTGACATTTCTGCATTTGTCAGGGTCCAGGACTGAAGGGGGGTGTGCAGCTCAGCATGCACATGAGTGTTCAAGGAGAGTCAACTAATAGGTCAGGCCGGCTAACTGCTGTTCATTGGGCATTGGCGGGACCTGGGCAGGCTCTGATAAAGGAATAAATCTGCTAAAGGCAAGATCCTGGGCCCCTGCTGCTGGCTTTCTGGGCAGAACCATCCTCTGGTGGAGTCAATCTGCCCACCCGGCGAAGGTGGCTCTCAGCCTCCGCTACAGGAAGCTCCACGCGAGCATCGGCCATTACTGAGACCAGGGCAAAGGTGTGGCTCCTTGTGGTCCACCATGCAGCCTGCACATTGGTTTCATTAATGAGGTTCTTGGCATAAAAGTTAGCTAGCAGAGATCGAAATAAAACACACAGACTCAGTTACCTTTTTCTATGACCAGGTCCGAGATGGCTCCCCTCTCTGGCTCCAACCTCGAACCACCCGTAGGGGAGCAAGGATTACTCAGGGCTAGCAGGAGAGAGAGAGAGGGAGCACGCCAGGGAGTAGCCTTTTATTGGGGAACAAGAAATTCAGGGGAGAATTCCATCCAATGAAGGTTGAGGGGGGCCGCACTCCAAGGTCAGGGTCAGTGATTGGGCCCCCGGGGTGAGTGGTCAGTCACACCCCCACACGGACGGGTTCTCTCATCAGGAGAGGGCCGGGAAAGTTCCGACGCAGCCAGAAGCCTCAGACCCAAACCGGGAGTCGCCCAGTCACGTGCGAGAATGGCTCTCCACATTGTGACACAGGGTGAAGGCACGTCTCTAAATGCTTCCAGGATTGGCTAGAAGATTAAAGCTCTATAACAGCTGAGCACGGTGGAACACACCTGTAATCCCAGTGGCTCAGGAGGCTGAGACAGGAGGATGAAGAGTTCAAGGCCAGCCTCAGCAACTTAGTGAGCCCCTCAGACCATGTGGTCACTGATGGTTGAATGGATTCCAGGGAAATTTTGCTGCAAGATTCTTTGTCCTACTGATCAAATCCCCCAAGTTCAGATTTGCAGATTTTATAGCAGTGAAGGCACCTTCCTCACCTGATTGTCCCCAAGCACTGTTTGTTTATTTTTTGGTACAAGGGAATGAACCTAGAGGCACTTAACCACTGAACCACATCCCCAGCCCTTTTTATCTTTTATTATTTGTTGTTTGTTTGGTCCCAGGGATTGAACTCAGGAGCACTCAACCACTGAGCACATCCCCAGCTCTTTTTTGTATTCTATTTAAAGACAGGGTCTCACTAGCTAAATTGCTGAGGATGGCTTTGAACTCACCATCCTCCTGCCTCAGCCTCTTAAGCCGCTGCTGGGATTACAGGCATGTGCCATTGTGCCTGACTCTTATCTTTTATTTTGAGCCAGGGTCTCACTAAGCTGCTGAGGCTGGCTTTGAACAAGCGATTCTCCTCTCAGCCTCCCAAGCCGCTGGGACTACAGGTATACACTGTGCCCAGCTCCAAGCACTATTTTATTTATTTATTTATTACATTTTTTTTTAATTATACATGGGCACAATATCTTTATTTTGTTTATTTATTTTTATGTGGTGCTGAGGATCGAACTCAGGGTCTCACACATGCAAGGCGAGTGCTCTACCGCTGAGCCACAACCCCAGCCCACAAGCACTATTTTCAACAAGAAAAACAATGTACCCCCGCCTCTTCCAAAACCCCAGCCAACTTGCCCAGATATATTAAGACACTCTTAAACTCTGAGAGCAACCTGCCAAGGGTTATGGCATAATAGAAAAAATGTAAAACACCAATTACCTAATTATTCAACACTTAGACTCATTAGTGGCTGTGTGCAATACACATCATATATGAACCCCATTTCCCTTCCAAACTGCAATGATCATGGGATGTAACTAAACCAATAAGATGTCCAAGATCCCCAAGATACCATCCGTGAGTGGACCCAGGTTGGTGCAATCGTAGGCACCAGGCAGAAGTCAACACTGACTCCTCAGTAGGGGAAGATAATGTCATTGTGTAAGCCCTTCAGCGTGCACAGGGAAGGTGATGAGCACCCAAGCTCACACAGGGTTTCGATTCAAATGGCAAACTTTAGGGCCAACTTCAATAATCACCTTAGTCCCAGCTACTCGGGAGGCTGAGGCAGGAGGATCACCTGAATATGGGAGTTCAAGACCAACCTGGGCAACAAAGTGAGACCCCATCTCAAAATAAAGAGAAAGAAAAAGAAATTTGGGGTTAAAAGTGATTGTGTTGGAACTATTTGAATAGTGAGAGTTCAGATATCAAGGGATACCTGCATTTCGGGTAGGGGGTTACAGTGGAAAAGGCATTTACCATAAGATGTGTAAGTTTTTTTTTTTTTTTTTCCAGATTGGGCTCACTGGCGCACAACTGTAATCCCAGCAACTTGGGAGGCTAAGGCAGGAGGGTGGCAAGTTCAAGGCCAGTCTCAGTGATTTAGTGAGACTGTCTCAAGATAAAGAATAAAAAGGGCTGGGGATACAGCTCACTGGTAAAGCTCGATCCTGGATTTAATCCCCAGTACAAGAAAGAAAAAAAAAATATTGCAGTGCTGGGATGAAACCAAGGGCCTCCCCCTCCCACTGAGCTTCACCCCATCCCTGTACAAGATTTATAACTGAGGGTGTAGAATGCACCAATCTTTTTTTTTTTTTAATCAGAAATTGAACCCAGTGGCATTTTACCCTGAACCACATCCCTAACCCTTTATATTTTTTGAGACAGGGTCTTGCTAAATCGTTTAGGGCCTCACTAAATTGCTGAGGCTGTCCTTCAACTTTCAATCCTCCTGCCTCAGCTTCCCAAGTTGCTTAGATTAAAAGCTGAGCAATCTTCCCTTGCATAGAGACAATAGCTTATTCAATTGATTTGTTCCCAGATGTTGGCAATTATGAATAAAGCAGCTATAAATATTTATGTATTACCAGACCTGGGAAGGGCGTGGAGGAGACCCACGGGTGCAGCTGCACAGGAGAAATAACTTATAACATTCTACAGCACAGTAGGATAACTATGGTTGACAACAACTGAACATTTCAATAGCTGAGGATTTTAAATGTTCTCAACATTAAGAGATGATGTAGGGGCTGGGGCTATAGCTCAGTGGTACAGCACTTGCCTTGCATGTAAGAGGCATTGGGTCCGATCCTCAGTACCACAGAAAAATAAAAGATACTGTGTCTAACTACAACTAAAAATATTTAAAAGAAAGAAAGAAAGAAAGAGAAAAAGAAATACCCTTCAATACACAGAATCACTATATCAACATTAAAGATCTCTAATAGCCAGGCACAGTGGCATACACCTATAATCCCAGTGGCTCAGGAGGCTAAAGCAGGAGGATGGAGAATTCAAAGCCAGCCTCAGCATACACCTATAATCCCAGTGGCTCAGGAGGCTAAAGCAGGAGGATGGAGAATTCAAAGCCAGCCTCAGCAACTTAGTGAGCCCCTAAGCAATTAGTAAGAACCTATCTCTAAATATAAAATAGGGTCTGGGGTTGTGGCTCAGTGTTAGAGCACTTGCCTAGCACATTGAGGCACTGGGTATGATCCTCAGCACCACATAAAAATAAATAAATAAAGGTATTGTGTCCATCTACAACTAAAAAAGTTAAAAAAAAAACTATCATAAACATCTGAGTTTTTTTTTTTTTTAAGAGAGTGAGACAGGGAGGGGGAGAGAGAGAGAGAGAGAGAGAGAGAGAGAGAGAGAGAGAATTTTAATATTTATTTATTTATGTATTTTTAGTTATCGGCGGACACAACATCTTTGTTGGTATGTGGTGCTGAGGATCGAACCCGGGCCGCACGCATGCCAGGCGAGCGCGCTACCACTTGAGCCACATCCCCAGCCCAATATCTGAGTTTTATATAAACAGAAGTTTTCATTTCTCTGAAATATCCAGGAGTGTGATTCCTAAATTGCATGGTATCCATTTTAGCTTTATAAGACATTGCCCAAGCTGGACATGGTGACACACACCTAATAAGCCCAACAATTTGGAAAGCTGAGGCAGGGGAATTACAAGTTCTAGGCCAGCCTCAGCAACTTAGCAAGACCCTGTCTCAAAAAATAAAAAGCACTGGGTAGAGTACCCATAGGTTCAATCCTCAGTATCAAAAAAACACAAAAACTTCAAGTAGAAAAAAAAAAGAAACTGCCCTGTTGTTTTTCTCTGGTGGTTTTGATGAACAGATGTTGTTTTTTTTTTTTTCCAATGAAGTCCAGTTTATCATGTTTCTGTTGTCTGGGTTAGTGCTTTTAATCAAAATCTGAAAACACCTGATTAAATATACTTGACAATTTAATTGCTAGAGAGTGACTTTTGGAGTGACAATATTTATTCTTGGCCTTCCCCCAGGGGATTCTGGGAGTATTTGTTACTGTGGAGGAAACACAGGGTCTGGGGATTGGATGGAATGTACCATAGAAAGTTCAATGGTCACAGAACACACGTACACACACACACACACCCCACACACACACTACATCTACAGCCACAGCCCCCAAAATAATCAGCAACACCTGGATAGTGCGCCCTCGCCCTCGAAGCCTGTAGAACTCTACAAGGTGATCTACACGGAGGTGGGAAAGGCCAGGTGGATCCGGATGGAGCTGGGTGCAAAACTATCACCTAGGGTGGGGGACAGGAGTCGAGGAGCAAGGGGGGGGGTGTTGGGAGACATGCAACACAGGCACATACCCAGCAGTGAGGCCATCCAGTCTCCTGTCTAGAGCGAGGCAGTGGTGCTTGTCTCCTGGAGCATGCACGCAGCAGCCCCCAGCCCCACTGTGTCCATTTATCCACCCCAATGTCCAGGGTGCCCCTCAGCAGGGCAGGCAGGTAGTTCCCTCCAGGGGTTCACATCACTGACTCCTTCTCACAGGTGGCAGCATCCCTAGGGGGGCCCTGATACTGTTTGAGGAGGGGGTTCCCTTCCTCAATGGCAGCTGGCAGTGGATTCGGGGGCACCTCACTCTTAAACTGGACCAACTTGGGCTCCATGCTCTGTATCTTCGATCGGTCCACATAACTCTGGAGGAGTCCTGCCCCAAAAGCATCACCTTCCACATTGAGGATGGTACAGGACCGGTCCCTAAAAGGTAGAAGTGATAGAGAAGTCAGAGGGAAGAGAGGAGAGGCCAGGCGCCAAGGCCCAAGCTGCCTGCCTCCCTCACTGGGATCTTCCAGTTCCCCAGCGCCATCTTCCTTCACCCTGCCCCTCCCAGGGCTCATGTTCCCATCTTCTAGGATCCAAGTATGCCCTCCTCCTAGAACCTCAAAGATCTCTTCATCTAACCTCCAGGAGTCCCATACCTCCGCTGGGTCTCCTGGAATCCCAAAGTGTCCATCACATTTTTCTGCCTCTAATCCCCAAAAATCTCTCCCATCTGCCTCTGACCAATCCGTTTTTTTTTTTTTTAGTTGTTGATGGACCTTTATTTTAGACATTCATTTATTGGTGGTGCTGAGAATTGAACCCAGTGCCTCACACATACTAGCAAGCGCTCTACCACTGAGCCACAACCCCAGCCCCCCAAACAATCCTTTTTTTCCCCCAACACTCAATTTGTTCCTTCCAAAACCTCAAAAATCATTCCTCCCTCACTCAGAGCCCCCCAAAGACTCCCCCACTCCATAAGACTGAAATTTCTGTTCAGGCCTTTCTCCTCCCTAAAATCCCTAAGGATCTTTTTCCTTCATTTTCATGCTTTTTGTATTTGTCATTTGAGAAAATTGAGATATAATTCACCTGCGGTGAGATTTGCACTTTAAAGTGTATAGTTTGGTGATTTTTAGTAAATTCAGAATTGTGCACCATCATCACAGTGTAATTCTGGATTATTTAATCGCCTCAAGAAGAAACCACTGGGGGCTGGGGCTCTAGCTCAGTTGGGAGAGTGCATGCAAGTCAAGCACTCCACCATCTGAGCTACATCCCCAGTCCTTCCCCTTGCTTGCTGTTGTGAATCACGCTGCCAGTTTTTGTGAGAACCTAAGTTTTCAATACCCTTAGGTATATATCTAGGAGTGGCATTCCTGAGTCACATAGTAACTCAAATGTAACTTTTTTGGGGGGGAGGTACCAGGGATTGAACCCAGGGCACTTAACCACTGAGCCGCATTCCCAGCCCTTTTTTATATTTTCTTTAGAGACAGGGTCTCCCTGAGTTGCTAAGTGCTTTGCTAAGTTGTTGAGGCTGCCTTTGAACTCCAGATTCTACTGCCTCAGCCTCCTGAATCTCTGGGATTACAGGCCAACCACTGCACCCAGCTCATATGTAACTCTTGAAACCAAACTGGTTTCCAATCTTTACACTCAATAGCTTCATCATGACAGTGAATAATTAATAGAATTTACCACTTACGAGGAGAGGTTTGAATGGGAAGTATGTGAATTAAGTCATCGAATCCCTGACAAGAGTCTCTTCTCACCATTTTACAGATAGAAAGCAGCCCAGCCTAAATGCAGTTTCTACTAACCTCTCTAGTTCACCACCTTTTGAGGTTCCTCTTAGAACCTCAAAGGTGCCAACCTTCCCTGACTGGAAGGCTCAAGATCCCACCCCTTCCCAACGAAACTCCTTCCTGTCTCTCCTCTTCTGCCCAGAAGCATTCACAGACATTTTCGCCCATCCCCTTTTCCAGGGGCCCCCCTAAATCCCCCAAGCCTCAAACCCACACTCACACTAGCCAATCCACAGCCAGGATCAAGGAGATTTCCCTGACAGGGAGACTGATTGCTTCGAGGATGATGGCCAGAGTGAGGATACCTCCTGCAGGGATGCCCGCTGCCCCTACGCTGGACGCGGTGGCCATGATCCTGGGGGAGAAGGAGGAGAGGCGGTGAGGTAGACGCCTCTGCAGTGTGAGGAGATGGGGTCCGGTGGGCCCAGGGGTCCCAGCCACAGCCACCCGGCACTCACAGGATGATAATGATATCCACAAAGTTCAGGGATCGCCCATTGAGCTGGGCAATGAACACAGTAGCCACGCACTGGAAGAGCGCCGCCCCGTCCATGTTGACCGTGGCGCCGATGGGCAGGATGAAGCGGCTAATGTGCTTGGCCACGCCGTTCTTCTCCTCCACGCACTTCATCATGAGGGGCAGCGTGGCGGAGCTGCAGGGGAATGCGGGGCAGTGAGCTCACCTGCAAGGTCCAGGCCACGCCCACTCCTAGATGAAGTCCCGCCTGCTCCCAGGTGAGGCCACGCCCACTATCCTACCTCTCCCACTACGCCAGCTCAGCCTGCCCTTCTCTTCCTACCATCCCACAAGGCGCTAGGGATCCCACAAAATGCCACAATTCCAAAATGTATGCCCACCCCATGCCCCACTATATAAAATCCCTCACCTGGAGGAGGTCCCAAAAGCCGTGGCTAACGGTGCCATGATGCCCCACAGGAAGCGGTAGGGGTTTTTTCGGGTGAAGAGGAAGTAGATGAGGGGCAACACCAGGATTCCATGAATGGCGTGACCCAGCAGGCAGCACAGGATGTACTTGCCGAGGCTGATGAAGAACTTCCCCACATCCTGCATCTTCGCAATCTGGCTGGCCACAAGGAACAGGATGCCCACAGGAGCATACCTAACACCCAAGAGATAGATCACTGCTGCTCACATGTCCACAAGGGCCAGGCACGGTGGTCAGCACCCTGCCTGACCCCATTTCCCAGCTTCCCCCAAGGTCAGGAGGAGCCCACAGCAATGTGCACTGAGATTTGGACACCACTCCCAGGCCTGGCCCCTGGAAGCTTCTGTTGCCTCCTCCAGGCACTTTTCCTTGAAGGCAGGTAAGCCAGGAGATAAAAGCCTTCCTGTTCCATCACTGCTTGGAGGAGTATCCCCAGATTTGAACTTAACACATGAGTGGGGGAAAAAAAAAAAAACATCTATCATGCCTGACTCATTTGTTTTCTAGGCTTGCTTATTACAGCAGCTGGCAAACCTTGAATAAATATTCTCAGCACATCATGAAAAACCAAAAGGTCATGGTTCAGGTCTTAGTAACTCCAGGGTATGAGGCGTTTACGATGCACTGAGCCCTTGATCATGACCGAATCTTCACCATAGCCCACACAAGAGCTCCTATTATAAATGAGTCTCTTACAGCTATTAGAGAATCAAACACTGAACCAGCTCTATAAAACTGGTCCCCAAATGCTACCAATGGAACTGCTGGATGAAATGAGATGCCAACTGAAAGGAGCTGAAGGCTTTCAAGTCACTGACATACTTCTGATGGGACTGCCGTCACCCTCTCCTGCAGGAAATATCCCAAAGGGTGTGTGCCTCCTCTGCAGGCCTCCCGAGGTCACCTCCCTGACGGTCTGACTGCTGTGGCTTGTGTTAGTTGTCTCCCCAGCCTCCTCTTCATCCCAGCCACCTGTGCAGCTAGGTGTGGCCAGGTGCCCGAGTCGAGCCAGTGGCACATGCCCGGCAGTTAAACAACACAGTGCGAAATAAAATGTTTGCTGTTGCCATTTACAATGCAGGTTTTTATTCATAGATGGACACAATATCTTTTTGTTTTAAATTATACTTTGGACCTTTATTTTAAGTTATTTGTATGCGGTGCTGAGAATCAAACCCAGTGCTTCACTCACGCTAGGCAAGCGCTCTACCACTGAACCACCACCCCAGCCCTTGTTTATTTATTTTTATGTGGTGCTCAGGATCGAACCCAGTGCCTCACATGTGCGAGGCAAGCACTCTGCCACTAAGCCACAACTCCAGCCCCCGTCCCATGAACTTTATGTGTAGGAGCTCATTTGTGCCCTTGGAGGCTGGTATCATTTGCCCTATCACCCCAATGAGGAAACCGAGGCACCGAGGGGCTAAGTAACTTAGGGTAGGACTTGCAGCTGAAACAGCAGAGCCCTGCTCTTGGCCATACCACCACCTAGCCTCCCAGCATAGTTCTTGAGTCAATCAAGACACATTTAATCCATGTTGTGAGCACATGGCAGGCAAGGGATACAGGGAAGGTATTGGAATGGGAGGGGGGGTTGTTTAAAAAAAAAAAAAAAAAAGCAAAGATCCTGTCCCCCTCCTAATCCTGATCTTTTAGATCCAGAGAAGATTCTAAGAATCAGTGTGAGACTGTTATGGGCCAGACTATATAAGAGCAATGAACAAATAGACTCCATTTTACCCTGATACTCCATGTCATGTAAGAAATGCTTCTCCCATGGGAATACCCAGCTCTGTACCTGTCAATAGTTGCTTAGCATAGCATGTTTGGCAACACAAAAGCAATTCTTATACAATGTAAAATTGTTTTCTCCTTGGTTCCAATGTTTTTTGGACAATGTATCCTGTCAGAGATTGATTGTCTGGACATTAGTAACCATTCTCTAACTTGTACTCAACTAAAGTCATTTTGACCCACTTCCCTTATGCTGGCTTGCTGCTATGCCAACCTGGAAAGTCCCATGGGAAATACCAAGGTACCCATTGCATTGTCTCGCCAACTGCTCAGTTCAGCTCTGTAAACCTCTTGCTTGCAGCTACCTCAAGACGGATGTGGTTTCTGCAGTTTTTGCCTTTAAAGACCCTGAAATGCTCTGGCTGGAGGCTTTTCCGTGCAGAGACAGTTATGGGTCCTGCAAAGAGCAGTTGCAGCTGGCTAAATAAAGACTCTCCAATTCGGACAAAATAGACTTGGTATGTTTTCTGAGCAGTCTGCCCCATAATAACACCACCGAGAGAAGTGGGGAGCCACAGGCCTCTGCACGTGGTTGTTTTGCTCATTGTCTGGGGTCATTTAACAAATCATAATGACAATAACCACAGTTAACATTAAGTGGGGGCTGGGGTTGTGGCTCAGTGGTACAGCACTTGTTTCGCATTCATGTGAAAGGCACTGGGTTCCATTCCCAGCACTGCATATATTAAAAAAAAAAAAAAAAGAATAAAATAAGGATCCATCAACAACTTAAAAAAAATTAAAAAGTAAAAAACATTAATGAATGTTCACTAAGTAGCAGGTGCTTAAAGCATTTTTTCTTTCTTTTCTTTCTTTTTTTTTTTTTTTTTTTTTGTGGTAGTGGGGATTGAACCCAGGGTATTGTGCATGCAAGGCGAGCACTCTACCAACTGAGCTATATCCCCAGCCCCTTAAAGCACACTTTTTAAAAACATTTTTTTTTTCTTTTTTGCAATGCTGGGGATCAAACCCAGGGAGGACCTGGCACATGGCTGGCAAACACTGCACTGCTGAACCACACCCCCACCCTAAAGCAAGCTCTTTACCTGAGTGACTCACTGAATCTTTATGAGCACCCTAGGAAGTAGCTGATTTATTCAAAGGAATTGAAGGAGCCTAATGGGAAGGAGGTCGAGGGCATGAACATCCTGGGCCTGGTGATGTTTGCCATCATCTTTGGTGGGGAATCATATAATTGCAATTTCTGAAATTGAGGTGCATTAGCTAAGTGGCAGCCTCAGCTTTGTTGTCCTTTGTCACCTTCCACAAAAATGGAGAAAGTGCCAGCATCAGAGTCTTAGGACTTATGGAATACACCATGGTTGCCATTCTATACATGAGGAATCTGAGGCTCAGAAAGCTATTTGCTAGAAAGCTATTTGCCTGAAGTCTCACAGCCAGGGAATGAATGATCGATGCTGGATTTGAATGCAAGCAGTCTCGTCTCCAGGGAGGGTGCAGAGGGTCCCCCACCACACACATGGTGGTGCTTGGCCCTTCTCCTTCCACTTACCACATGATCCAGGAGACCAGCACCATGGTGGCATCATTGAAGGAGTTGAAGAAGTGGATGAGCAGCTCCCCCTCAGGGCCTAGCTTCCGCAGGACCCCACCAAAGATGATGGAAAACACCACCAGGCCCAGGATGTTCATGCCCTCGATCTCCTTCCCATTAGGCTCCTTCAAAAGGAAGAGATGGGGGGGCGGGAACTCAGCCACCTGCCCGGTCACCACAGGCTGCTCTGGGCCCTCCTGAAACCCAGCAGAGGCAAGTACAGGCCCAGGGGAAAGAGACCTGTCCCCAGGGGTCACCCAGAGTGAACAGGGTTGGAATGGGGGAGCCCAGGGGAGAGCCTAGAGAAGGGGGTGCAGCTTGGAGAATGACCAGCATCAGGGAGAGCTGCCCAGGGGAAGGGGGATCTGAGCTGAGACTGGAGGGGAGGAGGGGTGCACCAGGTAGAGGGGCTGTAGAATATTCTAGAGAAAGGAAATAATGTGCAATAGCCTTGAAATGAAAGCTGGCGGCTGGAGGAGAATGAGCTGGACAGAGGGAGTCACAAGATGGGGCTGAGGGAGGGTCAGCATGAAAGGAAAGTGACCACAACACTCGGAGCAACCAAAAGATCTTTATTGCAGCAGTGCAACAAAGAGAAAAGAAAGGAGAGAGAGAGAGAGAGAGAGAGAGAGAGAGGGGAAGCGCATGCAGGAGAGAGACAGAGAAAGCAAGAGAGATAGCAAGAGAGAGGGAGCAAGAGAGAGAGAGAGCAAGAGAGAGGGGGGCCTGGCAGGAGGGAGTTTTTATAGCCCAAATCTAATGGGGCCTCTGGGTCTGCAAGCTGCCTTGTTGGCCCAAGGGGGGGTTAAGTGTTCAGCCTTGAGCAGGGTTGAATGTTCAGACTTGAGGCAAACAGGTGATAAAGGACCAGATAGAGGGGGGTTTGAGTGCGTGGGCTATCTTGCAGCCAACATCTGTTCAGCCTGCCCTGCAGACAACACAGTTCAGCCTGCTCTGCACCCAACACAGCAGGGGTCCTGTCTGATGGGGACCCCTGCCCTGTGGCAAGAAGTCGGGGCTCTCTTCTGAGGGCTTGGGGGGGGGGCTTGGGGCAGTGGAAAAGGAGGGTCAGACCTGCACTGTGGAAAGACCCCTTTGGCTGCAAGTTGGAGGATGGGTGAGAGGGACAGGTGGGATTGGGGGGGAGCCTGGACTAGGGCAGGGTCACGGGGAGGGGGGGGAAGAAAGGACAAAGTGGAGACATCTAGAAGGCAGAGAAAATGGAAACTGGGAAAGGATTGCAGAATTTAAATCTAATCCCACACCAAACTGCTAGAAGACCCAGAGGGTCAACAAAGACTGGCAGAAGCCCAAGTGGCCTGCCAGAGCCCACCCAGCCCTGCTCTCTCACCTTCACCAGGGTTCCGTTGATCTCGATCAGTTGGTAGGAGGTAGAGTACTGCAGTGGGGATGGGAAGAATCAGTGTCCACTGTCATGGAGGCCCCCATCCCGTGCTGGGACCAACAAAGCTCAAAATCTGCGCTAAGCACCACCTGCCAGCAACCCCAGCCACCCCACTGAGGAAGGACTTCTTTTTTGGGGGGGTGGTTCCTGGGGATTGAACCCGGGGTGCTTTACCATTGAACCACATCCCTACTCCTTTTTGAGACAGGAACTCACTAAGTTGCCCAGGCTGGCCTCAACTTGTGATCCTCCTGATTCAGCCTCCCAAGCAGCTGGGATTATAGGCATTTGCCACCACACCTGGTCCATAATCTTTTTTTTTTTTTTATTGGGAAGGGCACAGATGAGCTTCAGTGGCTACCCAAGAACCCTCTGACATCACATGTCACATGTGGCCACTTGTGTTTTCCCAGGGATGGCCCAAAATCAGATGGAATGGGCTCTGACTAGCTGCCTCCCTCCCTGCCCACCCCATCCCTCCAGACACCCTGAGAACTCACAGAGCGAAAGGTCGCAGACACCAGGTTGGAGGGAAAGATATTTCTGCAGAAATAGACAAACAGGGGGTTATTAGATACTGTCATGGGGAGGAGAGGGAGTATCAGGGGAGCTGGCTGGGCCTCTTCGAGGGGTGAGGGCAAATTAGGCCCCATTAGGACCCTCCCTCCTTCAGCTAGGTTTTGGCTGGGCAGTGGGACCTGGCCTGTACACCTTTACAGGGTGTGGGATTCTGAGCTGGCCCCCCGTCATTCCAAGCCCAAGGGATTGTGGGTTGGAAATAAAGAACGCTGGGCTCCCCAGGCAAGCCAGGGCAGGGTCACCCTGAGCCTTAGCCCCACCCCAGGCAGCAGACCTCATACCCTCTATGTCTTGCATCAGCTACTTCCTGGAGGGATGAGAAAAGGACTGGTTCCTAGGGGGAGGGGTCAGCTGGGGGGTGGGAGGAGGTGGGGAGGATCTGAGCAGACTGGAAAGCAGCAGAGAGGCCCAGAGAGTGTGACAAGGGACGGCCACTCATGTATGTCTGCCATGAGGTGGAAAGAGCAGCCAATCCACCCACGTCACCTCCCATATGCCCAGCACCGCAGTTAGCACTTTACACAAACTGACCCGGATGGACAGGCGTTCCGGTATGGCCACGTACCCAGGAGGGGGGTGCAGGTTAAGATCGGCTGGATGGGCGTGTCAGTGGATGGCCAGGCTGTGTGCCACAGTGGAATATTAATATGCATGTGCAGTCACAGAGGTCTGTATGTGTGTACTGTCCTCTTGAGCATGGGTGCAGGCGTTCATTAGTGTGCTCAGTGGAGTAACTGAATGGGACCATTAAAGGCATGTGTGTTAAGCTGGTGGAAGGCCATGTGTCTGTTTCCGAGTGTCTATGTCCAGCTGTGTGGGTCAGCTGGCTGGTTACAGGCCACGTAACTGAAATGTTCCAGTTAAGTCTTGGAACTGAAGACCAAGTGGGAATTACAGCTGTTTTGAAACTGTTATGGGGAGTTCATAAACAGCCTGGGGGTGGGTGTGCCTGCCTGCAGCTCAGGGCTGGGCCAGGGCCCAGCTAATCTCACTCAGCCAGGAGCTGTTACCCACCCCTACGGGGACACCAAGCCTGGCAAGTGTCCCACTTCAGCCAGCACAGATGTCTCAGAGGTGGAGGGATACCCTATGACTCAGTGTTTCCACACCCCCACACACACACACACACACTCACACTTCCAGGAAGTCCCCAATCTGGAGACACTGAATCAGAGGCCATAAAGGCCAGGACCATGTGGACCCCAGTCTGCACCCTTCAGAAGCCATAACAGTGGAGGGCAGAGGAAAAGAATCTGTTCCCCTTTCTAAATGGATCCACTTTGGGGAGGCCCACTGCAGGAAGAGGGGGGCAGACAGAGGAGTAAGTGGGAGGGAAAGGTGGGGGTGGCAGGTGGGAGGGTGGCCAGGGCTGATGTGGAAGACAGAAAGAGGAAGTGGCCAGGCCCCAGCTAAACTGGGAAGGGAAGGGGCTGAGAAAAGAAATGCGGCAGTGTCCAGGTGACCCATGGTGTGGGCAGCTATGGGGCTGGAAAGTAAAATTCCTTGGATTCCCTCAAGTTCTCCAGGGGTTCATTACGCAGGAATCCCAAGGCTGCTGCCCCAGCTTCCAATTTTTTTTTTTTTTTTTTTAAATAAGGAAGCTTGAAAAGTCGTATATGATTCACACCAAGGGCTGCACATCCAGGTCATTGGGAGGGAATCTCGGGCAGCCAAGGGGGCCCTAAGATGGTGCTTCTGGTCAAGATTCCATATCCAACTGGGGATGTCCTCAGGGTCCCTTTTCCTCACGGGGTCCCTTTCCCTCTGGGCAGACCCTATGTCCAAGCCCCTGAGCATTCCTCTTCCTCTTCCCTCTTTAAGACTTTTTTTGCCTATCTCCCTCTTATGGAGTCCCTCTGAGCCCAAGTTCCTAAATTTAGAAAACCCCTTCCCCGGTAGTCAGTCCTCACTTTCCCAAGGGACCAGAGCTCCCTCCACCATCCCATCCCATTTTCCCAAGGCTCTAGAGAGGATGTCTCGCTCTAGAGGGCCCAAAGCCCTCTTCTGCCCACGTGGCCACTTCCACCATGCCTACCACCGCGGGCGGAACCTGACCTCGCAAGATCCAGGAACGAATCCAGCACCTCCTTGCTGGGGATCTCTTCCCCAGAGCCGGTGACCCCTTCGAAAGAGGAGTTGATGGCCGCAAAAGCGGCGCCGGGTTGCAGCGTCAAAGCCAAGCCCACGCCGAGAGCAGACGCGAGCAGGGTGGTGACCAGGAAAAAGAGCAGCGCCCAGGCGCCCAGGCGGCCAAGCGCGCTCGGGTCCAGGCTGGCGGCGCCACTGATCAGGCTGCACACTACCAGCGGCAAAATGATCATCTTCAGCAGGCGCAGTAATAGCTCGCCAGGGAAGTTGAAGACGGTCCAGAACTGTGGGCTCAGCGCGCCTGCCCTCGAAACCCCCAGCCCCAGCACCACGCCAATCGCCACGGCCACCACAGTCAGCAGCACCAGCAGATTGGCGCGAAGGCAACGGCGCACCTGGTTCCAAGAACCGCAGGAGCCACCTGAGGTCACGACTTGGTCCTCTCTGGGACCCAGCGCCTCTCCATCATTCGCGGCGGGCTCCGTGAACCCCTTGGGTTCGGTCTTAGGAGGATCTGCCACCATGGTGGGACGCACAGGGGTTCCTTTGTGCCTGGAAGCTGGGAGCGCTTGGGGCTCCTTCCCAGGACGCCGACCTTGGGACCGAGAGTCCTCCGCTCCTGGAAGCTGGAACTTTGGAGGGCTTCTTGGAGTTGTGAGATTACAGAGCCGAGGTTCCTTGGCTCTGGGAAGCCGGTGTGCCTAAGTTCCTTGGGCTGGGCTCTGGGGCTCCTCTGCTCTTCCCCGTGGTGTCAGATGCCCGAAAGCTGGATGAAAGCGCCTGGGGTTCCTGGCTCTGCGCCTTGGGAATACAGGAGTTTCTCAGCCTGGAACGTGGGGTCCGTGGCTCCGGGAGGTTGGGAGAGTGCCCAGGTGGCAGAGAGCTGCAGGAAACTAAGTCCAGGTGGCGTAGATCCGGGACGCCTGGTCCGGAGTCGCAGATCCCGCGTCTCTGGGTCCTGGAAACTGAGAGTTAGGGGACCCGAGTCTGGAGGCCACGAAGCGAAACTCCAGGAGGACGAAACGTAGGACTCCTGGGTGAGGGAGGAGAAATCCAGGCCCCTGGGTGCCCGAGGTGGCAGCTACCAACAGAGCGAGAAGTTTCCTAGGCGCGCAGCGAGGCTCGGAGCAGGGTTGGTGGAAGCTACCAGGCTTGAAGGTGGGGAGCGGAGTCTAAGAAGGTGGGACCGGCCCGCGCGCGGCGATTGGCTGCGGCTTGTTGGGCGCACTCTGAGAGCGAGGGGCGGGGCTGAGACCGAGAGGGGCGGGTCGCCCAAAGAAGGCTGCATCGCACGCCCTAAGGCAGGATGACCAGAAGTTCAAGGCCAGCCTCAGCATTTAGCGAGATCCCTTCTCAAAAAAGGAATGATTAATTTTTTTAAAAAGTGGAGGGGCGGATTCTGGGGGTGTAACTCTAACTCAGAAGTAGAGCAACCCCGCAGTAACTGGTGGAGGGAAAAACAACAAAGACTACCACACCGCCGAGGCCCGGGGAAGGGGCCTCTAGGGGGATGGCATCCGAGGGCGGGGCGCTGCCCAGAGGGGGCGGGGCGCTGCCCGGGGGCGGCGGGGCTTTGGAAGGATGCTTTTTTGCGTCAAAGGCATTGGACTTGCAGGTTGGAGTCCTTACACAGCAGCAACCCGGCTCCAGTGTCTCTGGGACATGCAGGTAAATCCTAAATGACTTATTTGCAAATCCTCCCAGTTCGAAACATCTTAACACCAGTTCTTTTTTTTTTTTTTTTTTTTTTGGTCGTCTCTCAGAATTTGTTTCTCACATTTAAAATGCAGCTGATCAAAGTTCATCCTTCTTATTGAGGTAGGCCAGAAGACAAGGAGAGGTAACAAGGAAAACGTGAGACAAAACAAGAGGAACCTTGATTTAAAGTGCAAACTTAAAGCCCAGATTTGAATTTCACTTCCACATACTTTGATCACAAACAACACTATTTTTTTTTTTTTTTGTATTAGGGATTGAACCCAGGGGCCACATCCCCATCGCTTTTTATATTTTATCTAGAGATGGTCTCGCTAAGTAGCTTAGGGCCTCACTAAGTTACTGAGGCTGGCTTTGAACTCAATCTTCCCACCTCAGCTTCCTGAGCTTCTGGAAATTACAGGTGTGAGACACCATGTCCTGCATACACTACTCATCTGTACTTAAAAAAAAAAAAAAGGTCTGAGAATACTTTCTGCTCAACAAATAGATATTTCTGAGATTCATATTTTTAGGATCTGGTAACTTGAGCTATATGTCACACCTTCTGTCAATCCCCCAATGTTACACCAATGTAGTAATGTTCAAATTCACAAAGCAGAGGGGTAAAACTCCCTCATGGAAAATTTAAAAAGATTTTTTGCCAGGCGCAGAGGTGCCTGCCTGTAATCCCAGCGGCTCAGGAGGCTGAGGCAGGAGGATTGCAAATTCAAAGCCAGCCTCAGCAATAGTGAGGTGCTTAGTAACTCATTAAGACCCTGTCCCTAAATGAAATATAAAATAGAGCTGGGGATGTGGATCAGTGGTTGAATGCCCCTGAGTTCAATCCCCAGTATAATAATAATAATAATAATAATAATAATAATAATGATTTTTCATCAATAACAAAAGAAAACAACCCCAGCAGGTAATGATCAACACATCAAGTAACCAAGCTTGCACTCTCCCTGCCTCTCAGAATGTACTTCCTTTTTTAAAAAAAAATATTTTTAGTAATACATGAGCACAATATATTTTATTTATTCATCTTTATGTGATGCCGAGGATCCGACCCAGTGCCTCACTGCCACTGAGCCACAACCTCAGCCCATATACTTCTGGATTCCTCTTAATAAAATCCATCTGTGCCTCGCTTTGACCCATCCTTAAATTCCTTTCTGCAATGATGTCAAGAACCCTCACCGTCTGGATTGAGGCCAACCTCCCTTTGGGGACCTCCTCAGGACCCTGTCCTGGGGACAACATGATTGCTGCAAAATTTAAATGAGATGGAGTAATTGATTGAATAATGTTTATAGTTTTTAAAATCAATAAATGTTCCCAGCTGTGCATGCTGGCATACCCTATGTCTCAACCCCCGCTTGGGTGGTTGAGGCAGGATTATGGAGCCTAGGAGTTCAGGGCCAGCCTGGGTAACAAAGCCAGACCTTGGCTTAAAAAAAAAAAAAAAAAAAAGCTAATGTCATCAGACATTATCTTATCTCTACCAATACCTGACACAGTCTCACTCTCCCATTTTCCTGACTTGGAAGCAGTTGAGAATAATGAAGTTCATAGTGGCCCAAACCCACTGCCTGAGCAGGTGATTTGAACTCAGGTGTCTCTGACCTGGGTCTACACCTTTATCTTTCATCAGCCACCATGGCTACCCCTGGGCTTAGCTCCTCTCCAAGCAGGGACATTTCTTCAAGGAATTGTCGTTTATTCTTAGCACAGTGTTCAGCCCTGGTTGGGCTGTGCTAAGGACTCAGAAGTGACCAAGATAGTCTGGATCTATCTTCCTGGGACCCAAACAGTCCAATGGGAGATACAGACACATCCCCAGAGTGTAAAAGGATGGGATTGAAGATTCCAGAAAGGATGCTTGACACAGCCTGGCGAATCAGAGAGGGCTTCCTAGAGGAGGAGGCATCATTGAGCTGAGACAGGAAGGAGCTGGGCTGCTGAAGTTTAATCCCCAAAGTCTTATGTTAATGGTATTAAGAGAGGGGAGACTTAATCCAATGGTGGTATTTAGATCGCACAGAATTAGCGTCAGACTCTTCCTCTGGGCATCTGTCCATTCAGTAATTCATTCCTTCAGTCATTCGACAAACCACAGCCACAGAACACTGAGAGGCATCTAATTCAATGAGACAGATCCCACGTGTGTGTGTGTGTGTGTGTGTGTGTGTTGTACTAGGGATTGAACCCAGGGCACTTTAACACTAAGCAACATTCCCAGCTTTTTGTTTTAGATGGGCTCTCCCGGAGTTGTCCAGGCTGGGCATCCTTGTGATCCTCCTGCCTAAACCTCCCCAGTTGCTGGGATTACAGGTGTGCCTCGGTGCCCAGCACATTTATCAATTTTTAAGAAGGAAAAAAGCAGGTTGCAGGAGGACGTGTACAAAATAAGGCACCATGTCACTTGTGAGCAAAAGCAAGTGACCATAAGCCAGCATCCATTACGAATGCATTGCTTATCTGCAAGAATTCCCAGAAACTGCTATAGTGGTTGCATTCAGGAAGGAAAGCTGTGGCTTTGCGGTAGTTTGCAGGCATCATGGACTTGCTCAATGACTGGGTAAATCACTCATTCCTCCAGCCTGATTTTTCTCAGCAGGGAAATGGGTACAGTTGTAGTTTCTGCCTCAGAGATGGTGGAGAGGACTGAGAAGTAGAGCATAAGCCCCTTAGCTGGTGCTGGCAAAGCTCAGACCCTCAGGAATTATAAACTACAATGACCTTTTACAGGTAAGGACTCTAAGAAAGTTCTGCCTGTAGTCCCAGTTACTTGGGAGGTTGAGGCAAGAGGATCACCTGATCTCAGGGGTTCGAGACCAGTATGGTATGGACAACAAAAAACCAGACCCCAGCTCAAAAAAAAAACAAAACACGATTCTAAGGAGAAAACACTTTTTTGCAGTGTGTTCCCCCAGGCAGGTTCGGGGCCATAGGCGGGTTGCTCCCTCCAGGAGCTTTGAGGATCCCAGGACCACGGGGCAAAGGGAGGCCTGTAAGGAGCCAGCAGTTGGGCTTCAGGTGCAGCCGCAGCTGAAGTTTCTGGCAACCCTCCTGGGAATCTGAGCCCAGGGAGGGGTATGAAGAAATGGCCAGGCCACTTGGGCAACGTGGGCATAGGGCAAAGTCCGTGCTCAGCCTTCAGGGTGGGAGTGCCAGGCTGGGCAGCAAGATGGAGGGAGGAGACTCCCAAACCTCGGCCCCTGGGGAGGGGAGGGGTGGGGAGGCGGGGCCAAGCCAGGAAGCGGATTAGGATCGGGTTCAGGATTGGTCGGTGGTGCACCAGCCCCCTTCCCCGCCTCTGACCCGAAGAAAACGTGCTAGCCGGTTTCAGATCCCCTTCCCCGCCCCCCCCCCCCCAAACCTCCTACCCAGATTCCGATTTCAACACTGTAAAGAAAGGCCTGTGTTTCTGGGAAGGGGGTGAGAGGGGCCGGAGGAGGCAGGGCCAGCGCTAAGGAATCTGGACTCCACACGGCAGAGAGGCCCTTCCTGGCCCTGCTTGGCCACCCGGGACCTAGGTATCTGCCTGTGGTCAGAATGTCACCGAGAATGCTCCTCCCTCTGATCTGTATCCATGCACCCAGTTAAACTTTTCTGAGCACCTCGTCTGTGTCCAGCCTGGGGCTGGGTGGCTCTGGGGACCCCACAGTAACTGAGACAGCCCTGACTCCTGGCTTCCTGGACTCAGTCCAGTGGAGAAGACAGATCCATTGCCAGATAAGGATGACCCAGAGTAGACAGGATGGCGATAGGGATGAGAGAGCTCAGAGGGGACAGTCCTGAAGGAGGGGGCATCTAGGGGAGATTTTGAAGACTGTCAGCAATGGAGGAGTACAGGCAGTGGACAGGGCAAAGTCCTGGAGGCAAGAAAGGTTTGGATAATTTGTAGAGCCAAGAATAGTTTGGGCCGACCCCGAGGCACTCGCCTGTAATCACAGCTGCTGGGGAGGCTGAGACAGGAGGATCGTGAGTTCAAAGCCAGCCTCATCAACAGCGAGGCGCTAAGCAACTGTCTCTAAATAAAATACAAAATAGGGCTGGAGATGGGGCTTAGTGATTGAGTGGCTCAGAGTTCAATCCCCAGTGCAAAAAAAAAGAAAAGAAAGAATAGTTTGATTTGATTGATATAGAAAATTCAAAGGGAAGCTGGGTGTAGTGGCTTACACCTGTATTTCCAGCGACTTGGAAGCTGAGGCAGGAGGATCAAAGTTTGAGATCAGCCCAGGCAAAACTCAGAGAGAACCTCAAGCAATTTAGCAAGACTCTGTCTCTGCTGGGACAGTGGCGCACACCTGTAATCCCAGCAGCTCAAGAGGCTGAGGCAGGAGGATCACAAGTTCAAAGAGAGCCTCAGCGACTTAGCGAGACCCTAAGCAACTTAGCAAGACCCTGACTCTAATAAAATATAAGAAAGGTCTGAGAGGCTGGGGATGTGGCTCAAGTGGTAGCGCGCTCGCCTGGCATACGCAGGGCACTGGGTTCGATCCTCAGCACCACATACAAATAAAGATGTTGTGTCCACCTAAAACTAAAAAAAAAAAAAAAAAAAAGTAGATTTTTTAAAAAAAATTCCCCCCCCCTCTCTCTCTAAAAAAAAAGAAAGAAAAGAAAAGAAAGATCTGGGGATGTAGCTAAGTTGTAAAGTGCCCCTGTGTTCAATCACAAGTACAAAATGGGTAAAGGGTAGGGGGAGAAAAAGAAAAGAAAATTCAAAGGGAAAACTCACAAGAAATGAGTCAGGACATTTGGTGGACAGGAGCCCAACCAAATGGACAGAAATCACTGAAGAGGCTGAAGATAGGGGGCTCAGGTACAGCATTTGCTTTGTATGCATCAGGCCCTGGCTTCCACACCCAGCACCCAAAATAAGAATAAAGTAACACATACTACCTGAGTGTCCGTCCCAGCCCTGGCCCTGTCCTGGGTCATGCTGGGCTAAGAAGGCTCCCAGCTCATCAAGACACCACTGTTCTAGCCCAGGGTGGGAGTTCATGCCTATAATCCCAGCTATTCAGGAAGCTGAGACAGGATCACCAGTTTGAGGTCAGCCTTGGCAATTTAGCAAGACTCTCTCTCAAAATAAAAAGGGCTGGGGATGGAGCTCAATGTATGCTTGCTGAGCAAATACCAGGCCCTGCCTTCAATCCCCAGTACTACAAAAAAGAAAAAGAAGAAGAAGAAGAAAAAAAAAAGTCCTAGTGGTTTCACTGGACCACAGCCAAGGTACCCACAGAGCCATGCCCACCTGAGAAAATCTGGGTCTGTTTCTTCCGTGTTTCACTGGTTTCTTCAGTTTCCAAAGATCCCCTGCATTCCTTGGCCACAGTCTCCATCTTCAACACGCTCAGTTCAGCGTCTGCCAGCTTGCTCAGATGTTCCCTTACCTCCTTCGGGCCACATGGATAATCCAGGATGATCTTCCCATCTCACAAACCTTACCTGAATCACACCCGTGACACAGAAGTCACACCTGCTCTGTTGCTCTGTGAACAGACTCTAGGCACCTGATGTCTTTGGGCACCATCATTCAGTCAAGCACAGGAGCCCTGGGTGGAGAAAGTGTGTGCAAATCTGTAAGACTAAAGGGGAGAAGCAATGGAGACTGAGGAGGGCAGGCGGAGGAACTCAAGGAACAGGTGGAATGTTCTGGAAGCAAAGTGCCCAAGGTCTGGCGGCCCCCCATGTTCACAGGTTCCACATCATTTAAATATTTAGGGGGAAAAATTACATCTGTACTAAATATGTACAGGCTTTTTTACCTTGTCATTCTACCCAATATGACAATTATTTACATAGCATTTACATTATAGATTGTTTTTTGCTTTTTGTACTGGGGATTAAACTCAGAGGTACTCCACCACTGAGCCACATTCCCAGACCTATTGGATTTTATTTAGAGATAGGGTCTCTCTGAGTTGCTTAGCACCTCAAATTTGCTGAGGCTGGCTTTGAACTCACGATTCTCCTGTCTCGGCCTCCCAAGCCACTGGGATTACAGCTGTGTGCCACTGTACCCAGCTACATTGTGTTATTAGTCATTTAGAGATAAATTAAAATATAGGAGAGGATATAAGTGGATTCTATGCAAATACTACGACACTTTATATAAGGGTCTTGTGTCTCCTCTGATTTTGGTCCTCAGGAGATTGATTCTGGGATTTATTTCTGCAGCTTTATTTCCATAGCTTTGGAAGACAGGCAGCCCTTATTTTGCAGGATCCTGAAATGCACGAATTTCTGTTGTCACAATTAGTTAAATAAGATTCATTCCCCTGGGCTGGGGATGTGGCTCAAGCGGTAGCGCGCTCGCCTGCCATGCGTGCGGCCTGGGTTCGATCCTCAGCACCACATACAAATAAAGATGTTGTGTCTGCCGAAAATTAAAAAAATAAAAAATAAAAAATAAAAAGATTCATTCCCCTAACAACATGGATCAAAATTTAGCTTCCAGTGGTGTAGTAAGAGTGAGTTAGTTGCATAAACTGTACATTTCCTGCTAGCCCTTCATTCCTGTGTTATCAGGAGGAGGGGAGATCAAACATGTCAAATGATACTGGAGAGAAACCAGGAAGAGACTTGAGCATCCACCATGAAGGTAGCCACAGGGGTCCCTGGAGACCTGTGGGGCCCTTCCTTAAGACAGTGCCTTTGATAGCCAGGCATGGTGGCACACGCCTGTGATCCCAGCAGCTCGGGAGGCTGAAGCAGGAGGATCGCGAGTTCAAAGCCAGCCTCAGCAACTCTGTGAGACCCTGTCTCTAAATAAAATATAAAAAAGCGGGGAGCGGGGGAGGCTGGGGATGTAGCTCAGTGGTTAAGCACTCCTGGGTTGAATCCCTGATACACACACACAAAAAAAGACAGTGACTTTGAGATTAGCTATGAAGAGAAGCAGTGAGAAGAGGTTGTGGGATCAAAGGAGATCCATTTTCATGCATATTTAACTTTTAGGAATTCAACTGGGGGAAAAAGGAAGGAAGGAAGGGAGAGGGGGAAGAAAGAGGATTTCAACAGTGAGGGAGTCTGGCGGAGTAGCTCAGAGGTAGAGCTCAGAGGCAGAGCACGCACTTAACATGCATAAGGTCCTGGGTTTGATCCCCAGCACCACAAAAAAAAAAAAAAAAAAAATCTAAAGGATGAACATTTCCCCCAATTTGATTCCCCTGTGGAGCTGGAAAGGAAATAGGAGTTTGTCATCATGGAAAAACTCAGGGTTTCTCAGTTCTTCTCACAGGTGCCTCACTTCTCTGAATGTGAATCTAGTGTTTAAAGGTACATATTTTTCTAACAACATTATTCTCAAACTCAAGAATTCTCACAACTTCATTTTTGCTTGACTGAAGATAAATATGTTTACATTCTGATGAGAAAACTGGTCCTGTTTGACTTAATAGGAGAAATCATGCTCATTAGCCTGTTGGTGTGTATTGACTCTGTTTGAGTTTCTCTTGACTACATGTTTCAGTTAGGATGAGCTAGGCTCTGCAGGAGTAACAAACAGTTCCAACCTCCCACTGGCTTATTATGACCAAGGTTTATTTCTCACTCGTGAGAAACATGTCCATCTGTGATTGATCTACTGGGGTGACAGAACAGCCTCCATCGGAAATCTGGCAATGTGACATGCAATACTACACACTAGCTCTTTTTTTTTAATATTTATTTTTCAGTTTTTGGTGGACACAACATCTTTATTTTATTTGTATGTGGTGCTGAGGATCGAACCCAGAGCCCCGAGCATGCCAGGCGAGCTTGAACCACATCCCCAGTCCTACACACTAGCTCTTAAAAGTTTCTACCTGGAGTAACATGTTATTTCTCTGACATGTCACTGGCCAAAGCAAGTTATCCTGTCAAGCCTAATTCAGAGAAGAGACGTGAAATCCTACTGTGTGTTCAGGAAAGAAGAATGGGAATATTGCCGAACAACCCTAAAGAATATTAGAGCCTAGCTGGCACAGTGGTGCATGCCCGTAATCCCGGTGGCTTGGGAGGTCGAGATAGGAGGATTGTGAGTTCAAGGCCAGCCTTGGCAACCTAATAAGGCCCTAAGCAACTTAGTGGTGTTACAGGAAAGCAGGGAGCTGAAACTCCAAACCTTGGTTCTTGTATTCCAACGGAAGAAGATTTAGAGTCAGACACCAAAATCATGCAAGAGAACTTTGCTTAAGCAAAAAGGACTCTCAAGGGAGTGGGTGGGCTGTCTCCGAGCAGAGAATGACAAAGGAGACCCTGCTGTCCCCACTTTTATTACAGTCTGGTGTTTGCCAGAAGGGCTGGGGACCACCTCTGCCCTCTTCACCAATGGGTGTTCAACCCCTCCTTCATGGATGGTGGAGTTTTTGACCATCGTTGGTCCTCTCTGGAACACTCATGGTGGCCATCCTACTTAGGGGGCTTCATCTACAGGTCAATCCCATGTTAATGTGGGCACTGGGGTCAGAAGCTGGTCAGAAGTTACCTTAGTGCGCCTGTGCTACCAAAGGACTCTTCCTCCCCAGACAAATGGAGACACCTTAGCCATGATTCCTAGCCCCACGTCCGAGTCAGTCCCATGAATCTTCTTCTCTTGACATATTTCCCCATTAGCTCCTTTTGCTTCTTTTTCTTTTATACAAACTACCATGTTTTGCTTTCTTGTTTACTTTGGAAGAAGTTCAAAGAAGACCCTAAAGTAATTTAAAGAATGCCTGTGAGCTGGGCACGGTGGCACACGCCTGTAATCCCGGAGGCTCGGGAGGCTGAGGCCAGAGGATCATAAGTTCAAAGCCAGCCTCAGCCATGGCAAGGCACTTAGCAACTCAGTGAGACCCTGTCTCTAAATAAAATATAAAATAGGGCTGAGGATGTGGCTCAGTGGTTGAGAGCCAAAACAAAAACAAAACCAAAAAAAAAACAGCTGTGACCTTGCCTGTATTTCACTGCTCATTGCTTGCTACTATCTAACATTGGTCCCTGTCTCAAAATAAAAAGCAAAGAGCGCTGGGGATGTGGCTTCGTGATTAAGTGCCCCTGGGTTCAATATTATATGCTGATTCCAGAATTCCACTCCTCCAACTGGACTCCAGGATTTCTCAGTGTTGAACAAGAAAGAAATAAACTTAATCAAGAACAAAAGGAGGGCTGGGGTTGTGGCTCAAGCGGTAGCGTGCTCCTGCTGGCATGCTTGCGGCCCGGGTTCGGTCCTCAGCACCAATACAAAGATGTGTCTGCCGAGAACTAAAAAATAAATATTAAAAAATTCTCTCTCTCTCTCTCTCTCTCTCTCTCTCTCTCTCTCTCTCTCTTTAAAAAAAAAAACCCTCTAATTTCCTACAATGTTAAAAACACACAATAAAATTTTAAAAAAAAGAGAACAAAAGGAATTGCATTGGTTTGGGGCTAGTTAGGATTTGCAATCTGAGAAAACACAGACTCAAGCACTCTTGAAAATGTATTCCAAGCTTCTACAAAATGGCAGCTACATTTATAGCTTTGTAGCTTTAAACTACAAGAGGGTTGGGAATGACATTATTTGTTAGTCAGAAATTATGGTTGGTGCTGACAAAAGTTAAATTGTAAGAAAGGGATTGGGTGTAATCTCAGTCTATGGGCAGTTTGGGGTGGTTTCTAATACAGAAGGTTGACAGAGATTAACAATGTTTCAAAAGTCAATTCACATGGGGGTGGGGGGTGGGGGGGCATGTCTGCAACCCACTGCAAAGGTCCAGCTTTGGATGAGGCTGAGACTTGTTATCAATGGCCTCCTGACTCCATTTTAAGTGCCCTGAACCAATGCTTGGTTTTTTGTTTGTTGTTTTGTTTGTTTTCTTAAGAATTTAACCTTTTTTTTTATTTATTTGGGTTTTTTAAATTTTTTTAAATTTTATTTTAGGGCTGAGGTTCTGGCTCAGTGGTAGAGCACTCATCTAGCACGTGTGGGGCGCTGGGTTCAATCCTCAGCACCACATAAAAATAAAATAAAGGTATTGTGTTCACCCACAATATTTTTTTTTAAATATTTTATTTTAGTTGTTGATAGACCTTTAATTTATTTACTTTTATGTGGTGCTGAGTATCAAACCCAGTGCCTCACACATGCCAGGCAAGTGCTCTACCACTGAGCCCCAGCCCCAGCCACCATCTTGGTCTTTCTACCCTAGGCATTAGTATGGTCTATATAGCCATATATATATATATATATATATATATATATATATTTTTTTTTTTTTTTTTAAAGAGAGGTGAGAGAGAGAGAGAGAATTTTTGATATTTATTTTTTAGTTTTCGGCGGACACAACATCTTTGTTTGTATGTGGTGCTGAGGATCGAACCCAGGCCGCACACATGCCAGGCGAGCGTGCTACTATATATCTATACTTTTGTTAAATAAAAATGATAGGCGGCTACTGCTTGCGATGAGGCTCCTGTGCACGTCCCTCACAGACCTGACTAAAGATCAAAATGCAGTCACTGTGCTGAAGTTCTCCGTCACCAGATTGAAATGAAGTTGTTTTCTGACCTTCTGAGAAATTGAGGTAGGATAGAAGAAATAAGGGTAAGTACAAAGGAGAGTAATAAGGAAAGGAAAAAACAAAACAAAATATAACTTTAAACCTCACCTTTACTCTCCAGTCCTGTTTTCCTCCAAGCCAGAAAGCTAAAAAAAGAAAGAAAAGCCTTTGACTCTTAGAGTATGGCAAGTCTAGGTGAGTAATGCCTACATACATCGCTAGTTTACCCAACATATTTTTTCAGACTAAAGAAAACGAAGGGAAAATATTGTTAGAGACTTATGCTGTGGAAATATTCCAAACTATGTGAATGGATGACATCAACAGGGATCCTGAAGGGAACCAGAGCGCTGCAGTCTGCCTCATGCTCCAGGATTAAGAGCATTGAACTCTCCAGGATGACATCACCCCACTCACTTCTGGGATGTTCACTGTTTATAGTTTTGCCTAAAAGTAGAGCCCAAGCCAGATGCAGTGGTGCAGCATGCAATCCCAGCCTGAGTCAGGAGGATTGCAAGTTTGAGGCCAACCTCAGCAATTTAGAATGAGTCTGTCTCAAATTTTAAAAAAATAAAAATAAAAAAGAGGCTGGGGATTAGCTCAGTAGTACAGCTACCCTGGGTTTAATCCTCAGTACCATGCACATGAAAAATAATCCTTAATTTTTTTTTTTTCTTTTTTGTTTTGGCTACCAGGGATTGAACTCAGGGGCACTTGACCTGAGCCACATCCTCAGCCCTATTTTGTATTTTATTTACAGACAGGGTCTCACTGAGTTGTTTAAGGCCTCACTAAATTACTGAGTCTGGCTTTGATCCTCCTGCCTCAGCCTCCCAAACTGCTGGGATTACAGATGTGCGCCACTGTGCCCGGCCAAAAATACGTTACTTTTTGTAATTTTTGTCCTATGACATTTTTAAACCTCAGGTGTCAACCTAGTTCATATTAATTTATAAAATAAATTAGTGAATCTCAACCAAGCATTTAAATGTGTATGTGTGTGAGAGGGGGTGTTTATATATATCTTCCCCTTCGTTTGACCAACATCTTTAGATTTTCATCAGGGTCTCAGGGACACTGTGAGTCCTGTGAACCCCAAGGCTGACCTTCAAGGCCTCCTAGGGCCCAGGGCCCTCTGTCTCAGCCCTGTTCACCCTGGGCGGTCACTGTCTGGGGACAGGTCTGCCCCCTCCATTGGACCAGGCATAGGGGCTGTCTCTGCCTCTGCTGTGCCCCCACCATGCCCCGTTCGGGCCAGGCAAGCAGCAGGGGTTCGGAGAATGTGGGTGACTCAAGCAGGAAGGAAGGAGGCTGTGGGAGACCCTTGGGCGCAGCTGAGCTTAGAGGCAGAGGCGCTTCCTGCCGGGGCCCTGCTGGGAGCTGCAGCCTGGGAACTGGAGAAGGCCTGCCTCCCACCTTCTGATCATTTATTTAAGAGCTGGCTCCTTCTCGGTCAGGCCCCAGTGGTTGGCGGTACCTGTGGACACTCGGGTTTCTGGGCCCAGAGCTGGGGTGTTGGGTGCTGCCCTCCTCAGCTCCCCCAGATCCAGCCAAGGCTGGGGGAAGTCTCCCAGGGTAACTGCCCCTGCCACCCCTCCGCACCCTGGCCTAGGACCCCACAGGGTCTTGGGGCTCAGGTGACCTGGATAGAAAGACATTCGATGCTTCCCAGGAGGCGGGATAAGACAGTGGTGAAATGGGGGGGGGGTGCGTCCACTTCTCAGCTGACCCTGGGGGAGGGATCCATTCTGAGCCTCAGGTCCCCTCTGGTCTACTGCAGAAGGAAGGCAATATCTGTCTGGGTGCACGGAAGGAAGTAGAAGAACAAATATAGGCCTTGACCTAGCCTTGACCCGGCCAGAGGAGATGGTGGCGGAGGGCTTTTATTCTCTGGGAGCCCAGTCAGAAGTGAGCCAGGCCACCCTCTAGAGGCCCAGACAGGACCTGGCCCTGGGGGGGTAGGGGTAGGGGGGTAGGGGTAGGGGAGTGGGGCTGAGGTTTGAGGCTCTGGGAGGAGTAAGGGGGGCCAGGAGCCCACCCTGAAGTTTCTCAAAGGTCATGGCTCTGCCCTAGAGGTTCGAGGGGACAGGGGGGACCTGGCCCTGTTAGGAGCCCATTCTGAGTAGACAGCCCGTTCCCAGTGACTATGTGGGTGTCCCCGCCCGCCACAGGTGACTGGCCCCAAGAAACAGGACATTTTGTGTCTGGGAGCCCTCGCAGCTGCAGACTGCCTGGGGCTAGAGAGGCCTGAAGGAGCCGCCTCTGGCCTTGAGAGGCCCTCTAGACTCCAGGGGAGAGTCCCCAAATCCTGGCCTCCCCGAGGCCCTGGGCCTCAATTTGAGAGGTGCTGGAATCTGCACTTCAACTGGGGGTAGGGAGCCGGAGGGCCCTGGGTAAAGTCCTCTCTGCCTCCGCGCCCCCTAGGTGGCACTTTGGGGAGGGAAGGGGAAGGCAAGGGGACATTTCCACCTCAGGATCCAGAGGCCTAGGAGTGGGACATTTGAAGGCACATTAGAAACCGGCAGGCACAATCTGTCTCAGTACAGACAAGCAAACTGTCCCCGAGTCCCACAGCAGACAGTGAAAGAGCCCAGGGGAAGCAGAAGGCTGCCTGCTCCCAACACCAAGCCTGGAGGGTAGGAGAGCTGGAGGGACACAGGCCATTCAGAACCACAGAAGAGCCACACAGCCTGGGTACCTCAGCAGCACACGGTCTGCCTGCCCTCTGCTCTTTTCTTTGTTTTTCTTGAGGTCCCCCCACCCTTGCCCAGGCTGGCCTCACATTCCTGGGCTCAAGTGATCCTCCTGCCTCAGCCTCCTGTGCAGCTGGAGTAACAGGCACATGCCACCACACCTGGCTATTTTAAATTCTAAGCATCTTAAGCCTCCTCATTTTTTTAAATTGTGGTAGAATAAACATGGCCCAGAGCTGCCAAAGGGTGCCAATATGGAAGACAATGGAGCCATCGGGCCGAGACAGGTCGCGATGTGTCGTTCCAGCTCCTGAAACTAGCTATGCCTGAAGCCAAAGGGATGATGACTTTTCTTTCAAGTGAGCAGTCAACTCCAGAGTTTGCCGAATATAGTTCCAGTTGGGTTTTCAGTAGAATAGAAACAAGACAGACGGATACAGGGAACAGACAAGAGGGTTTAACCTGGTGACAGGCCACAAGAGGTAAGTTCCCAAGGGGAAAAAGTATAAGCAAACAAGATGGTGGGTTAGGCACAGTAACCCTGGTGGCTCAGGAGGCTGAGGCAGGAGGATTGAAAGTTCGAGGCCAGCCTCAGCAATTTAGTGAGGCCCTAGGCAACTTAGTGAGACCCTGTCTCAAAATAAAAAATAAAAAAGGCAGGGAATGTGGCTCAGTGGTTAAGCAGCTCTGGGTTCAATCCCTGGTACCAAAAAAAAAAAAAAAAAAAAGAGTGGTGGACCAAGGTTCCTGTTAGGGGGTAGAGAGCAAATCCTTAAAGTGACTGCCATGTGGAGTTTATAAGGGGTCATGGTGCGGCCACCAAAGAACCTTCCACCTTACAAGAGGAAGGGACAAGGCCTTCCTATGAAAGAAAATCCAAAGATTACATCCTAGAAGTAGCCAGAACCATCAAAGGGTTCAGGCGGCCAAGTTGGCAGCGTTCTGCTGGTGGGGGTGGAAATGGGCACAGCCTCCTCGAAAAGCCACGGGGCAGTGGCCATTCACTTTGGAACCTCCCACGCCCCTGGACACAGCAACTCCTTGAGGGATTTATGCCCCAGCTGGAGTCTGAAGCGCGGGCATCCTGGCGCCCAGTTGGCACCAGCTGAGGTCTGTCCACAGACAGTGCACCAGGGAGGAACCCGCCAAACCCGCGTGGCCCATCCCTGAAGTTGAGCGCTGTACACTTTACAGAAATCTCTGCGGGGTCTATGGGCCAGCGTTGGCATGCTGGGCAGGCTTAACCCCAGCTCCTGGGGAGGAAGCAGCCCTGATGCCCAGTGAGGGCCAATTTCTGCAGTGTTAACACCCCCACCACATCGGATTCAGAAATACTTCTATTCATCATTGATTGATTGATTGGTTGATTGATTGATTGGTGTTGGGCATGGAACCCAGAGCCTCACACATGCCAGGCAAGTGCTGTACCGCTGAGCCACACCCCCAGCCCACCGAGACTGGTTTTTAAGTTACTGAAGAGACACCATCAAAAGCGAAGTTCAGAAATACCACCGTGTGCTGGGCGCAGTGGCACCTGCCTGCGATCCCAGCAGCTTGGGAGGCTGAGGCAGGAGCAGCGCAAGTTCAAAGCCAGCCTCAGTAAAAGTGAGGCACTAAGCACCTCAGTGAGACCCCGTCTCTAAAGAAAATACAAAACAGGCTGGGGATGTGGCTCTGTGGTCGAGGGCCCCTGAATTCAATCCCCGGTACCAAAACTACTCTAAGATATCATCTTACTCCGGTCAGAATGGCAGCTATTAAGAATACAAACAACAACAAGTGCTGGCGAGGATGTGGGGAAAAAGGCACACTCTTACATTGCTGGTGGGACTGCAAATTGGTGCAGCCAATATGGAAAGCTGTATGGAGATTCCTTGGAAAACTGGGAATGGATCCATCATTTGACCCAGCTATCCCACTCCTCGCATACTACAGGGACAGCCACATCAATGTTTATAGCAGCACAATTCACAATAAACTGTGGAACCAACCTAGATGACCCTCAGTGGATGAATGGGTAAAAAAAAAGTGTGTCATATATACACAATGGAATATTATTCAGCAATAAAAGAGAATAAAATAATGGTGTTTGCAGGTAAATGGATGGAGCTGGAGAATATCATGCTAAGTGAAGTTAGCCAATCCCCAAAAAACTAAATGCCAAATGTTTTCTCTAATGTAAGGATGTTGACTCCTGATGGGGTTGAGGGGGGAGCATGGGAGGATTAGACCAACACTAGATAGGGCAAAGGGGTGGGAGGGGAAGGGAGGGGGCATGGGGGTAGGAAAGACAGTGGAATGAGATGGACATCATGACTCTAGGTACATGTATGAAGACACGAATGGTGTGATTCTACTTTGTGTACAACCAGAGACATGGAAAATTGTGCTCTATATGTGTAATATGAACTGTAATACATTCTGCTGTCATATATAACAAATTAGAATAAATTTTTTTATAAAATAATGTGAAAAAAAAGAAAAGAAAAACAAATACCCCCATGTGATATTTCCACGTGCAGATACAACAGACATAAATAACCTCAAGAGCATATAGTAAAAGATATAGAATGAAATAAAGTTTGGCCAGTTATTACCTTTTATTATATATATACATATAGGTGGATAGATAGATAGAGATTTTTCTTTTTGCCTGTAAGTTTGGTATCTATAAATGATCCCTTCCCTTCCCTGCCACTTTTTTCTGGTACTGGGGATTGAACCCAAGGGCACTTTACTGCTCAGCCATCCCCATTCTATCTTTCTTTTATTTATTTATTTATTTTTTAATTTTGACACGGTCTTGCTAAGCTGTGAGGCTGGCTGGGAACATCACTGTACCTGGCTGAACAACTGACAATCTAGTTTTTAACACTAGCTGTGTTCAACAACTGGCTTGCACAATTCCCCAAAGTTGAGCAATCTTCTCTTGAGAACCGGCCCCAGAACACACGAAGACACAGCTGGCTCTCCAGATGAAAAAGTAGAAGCCAATTTTTGTGGACGGGGTGCTGGGAAAAGAACCCAGGGCCTCGCATAGGCTAAACAAGCACTCTAGGACTGTACAATATCCCCAGCCCCAAAATCCAAATTCTGGATGGTAGCCTAAAAGCTCTATTGCCTCTTATAGTCCTCCTCACTCAGTCCCCTCCGGCCACCTTGGCCTCCTTCCTAGTCCTGGGACACACCGGACTCACTCCTACCTCAGGGCCTTTGCATTTGCTGCTCCCACTGCTATTGCCACCCTTACCACATAACTCCACGACTTGCTTCTTCAGGACTTTGCTCAAATGTCGTCTGTTGCATTCCTCGCAACTAAAACACTCAGGGTCACTCCAGGGAACTGGGCTGCAGGAAATAACCACACAAGAGACAGAGATACCTTTTTCTTTGGGGTCCTGTGATGGCTCCTCTGACCTTAAGGGTCTGCAGAAAGAGAGAGAGAGAGAGAGAGAGAACGTGCTGACCCCTTTTATTGAAGAGAAGCCATTCAAATGAGGCAAGGGGTCAGATTTAGGGGTCTGAGTCTAGCTTCCTGATGTCCACTGTCAGCAGACTGACTGGCATCTAGGGAGGCCACACCCAAGGGCAGAGCAAGAGAAGGGGACACACAAAGGGCGTTTCCATGGAACATTCTATCCCACACAGGGCAAAGGGGTAATATCACAAAGGAACAGGTGAGCATAGCTCAACCCCTGGGGCTGCAGGAAGGCGTGCCTATGCAGGAAGACACATTTGCTACATTTTTACTACTGTCGAGATTAGGGCTACCATCTATAGGTACTTGAAAGTGGCCAGATCACAGGAAGTGACCAATAGTGCCTCAAACCAATCAGGAGAGGAAAATGCTGGTCACATGACATGGTGGCCTCCCACAGTCCCTTCTGATCAAGGCCTTCTCTGACCACCCTGTAAAAAACAGAAAATGGAACCTGTCTCCCTACGTTCCAACTTCTGCTCTTGTGCATCTATCCATAGCAGTGACCTGATACTGTTTGGGCCACCTGACCTACTGAGTAATCAGATGTACTTGTCACTTTATTTATCTATTGTCTCCCTCCCTCACTAAGATGTCACCTCCTTCAGAGCAGGAGATTTGCATCTGTATTGGCTTTTACCATATCCCCCTGCCTCAAACAGTGCCTGGCATACAGTAGGTGCTTAGAAACATGGTGTTGAGCCAGGCACGGTGGTGCCCTGTACTCCTATCAACTCCAGAGGCTGAGCAGGAGGATCACAAGTTCAAAGACAGCCTCAACAACTTAGCAAGACCCTATCTCAAAAAAATATTTCTTCTTAGCACTAGGGAGAGAACCTACTACTCTACCAGGACTACTCTACCAATAAGCTACACGCTCAGCCCTTTTTATTTCTTATTCTGAAATAGGGTCTCACTAAGTTGCCCAGGTTGGCTATGAACTTCAGTCCTCGTGCCTCAGCCTCCCGAGTCACTGGCTCTAGCTCAGTGGTTCCTTCGACACAGAATGTACGACTGAGTCACTGGTGTTACAGGTCTGTGCTACTGCACCTGGCATCCTGTTGCAAAAAGATTTTTTTTAATTTTAGTTGTAGTTGGATACAACACCTTTATTCCACTTATTTATTTTTATATGGTGCTGAGGATCGAACCCAGGGTCCCACACGTGCCAGGTGAGTGCTCTACCGCTGAGCCACAACCCCAGCTCTTGTTGCAAAAATTTTTAAAACAGGTTGAGAATGTAGCTGAGTGGCAGAGTGCGTGCCGAGTGTGCACAAGGCCCTGGGATGAATCCCCGGAGCCAAAAATACATGAATACATAAACAAACAAACAAATAAACCCTTAAGTCTAATAATCAAGTAGGCAGAGCCTGTGGAAGACCACACCGTCCCTCTGCGTGTGCCTCTCAGAGGAGACCAGAAGCTTGGCCTTGCTGCTTCCTGGTGCTGGGAACCCGAGGCTCCTCTCAGCCTCCCCCACGGGGACCCAGCCCCTGGCCAGCTCTGCCGGCCTCTGATCTGGCCACTTCAGAGCCTTCACCTCGGGCCTGCAGCCCATCAGAGGTGGCTGGAGCCGGGCGTCTCCCCAGATGGGCCTTTGAGGACAGGATGAAAGAGGCCCAAGGGAGGTCCCAAGGTCCAGGGCCTCCCACAGCAGCCCTGAGGGGAGGCAGGAGGGGAGAGGGGAGGAGGCAGGCTTTCCACGTCCCCTCCTGGGCCTCAGGAGTCCACCATGCGCCTTCTGTCACCTATTAACATTTTTTCAAGTGTTTATAATAAGTACCCGCTGGGCTGTCGCGGGGAGCAGGGCTGAGGGAGAGTGAGCCCAGGCGTCCCTCCAGGAGGCCAAGGCTGGGACAGTGGCCTAGCAGGCAGCAGGGACAGAGACAGAGCGTCGGGCTGCCAAGCCTCCAGGCCTGTCCCAGAGGGCCCCGCGTGGAATGTTCTGTACAAATCCCTTGGAAGGCTCTGGGAGGCCGGCGTGACCCTCGACGCGGCCTCTCCTAGCGGCTTCCAGGGTCTCCCAGAAAAACACCCACCCCTCTGGCCACGCAAAAAGGGCCCCAGTAACCACTCCCTTCCCGGCCTCGGTCCCCTCTCTTCTCTCTGTCCTCTCTACTGGCCTTCTCCCCTATTTCACCTCCTCCTCCTCCTCACCTCCCGCCCTCCCTCCCCTCTGCTCCTCCTCCCGCCTCCCCGCCAGCCCCAGCCTCCCCCAGGACCCCTGCCTCACCTGCCCGGGGGCTCCACACCTTGGCCAGGGCTGTCCTCCCACCCCGCCTGGAACTCCCTCCCCCACCCCGTCACTTAGAGGAGATCTTGGCTTCCTTCCTTCTCGGGACAAATATTTGCCAGACATCAGCTCTGTCAGGCCCTCTGCCAGGGCGGGGAGCAGAGGGTGAGGAGAGGCCGTGGCCTGGGGTGACGCAGGAAAGAAACTGGCCACAGGGGAATCGTTGCAGCCTTCCCTGCTGGAGAACGGGCCTCCCTCCTGAGCAGGCATCAGGAACCCCAGGGACGTGGCTGAGGCAGGACCCGCCTGAGGGGCTGAGAGGGGGATAAGGGGACTGACTGGCCCGAGAGGCGGATCTCTGGCATTATTTGGGGGGTTGTTATCAACTCTTGGAGGAACTTACATCCCGTCTTCCTGGAAGCTCTTCTCAATGGAATCCATTGGGTCCCCCCGTTCCAATCCTCTCAGGTTGTCAACTCTCTGGGCACTCCCATGAGCCTAGTGAGGGCCAAGCCAGACACTGACCACTGTGTCCCTAGCCCCACCTGGCTTGGGTCTGGGCATACAGTAGGTGATCAGTAAATGCTCAGGCCATCCTGATGCTGCTGGGAGGCCCTGGAAGCCTCCCTTTCTCTACGTCTTGGCCTCCAAGGATTCTGGAGCGCCCCACCCAGACGCGCACATGGGCTTCGGTCCAGCCTCTTTCATCCCATCCTCAAAGGCCCATCTGGGGAGGGCGCACGCTCCAGCCACCTTTGATGGGCTGCAGGCCCGAGGGGAAGGCTCTGAAGTGGCCAGATCAGAGGACTGGAGAGCTGGCCATGGGCTGGGCCTCCGTGGGGAAGGCTGAGAGGAGCCCGAAGCAGGAGTGTGCAGGGTGGGGGAGGGGGAGACCTGGCTCTGGGATGAGACCCACGAGGCTCAGGTGTTGACCCACCATCATCCGAACACAGAATCCCCCACTCATTCCATCCTGGGGGCTGGGCTAATTTTTTTAAATAATGTATTTTATTATCGAAAATGGCTATGGAATGGGTAAGATAGGGTCAGGGTGCAAAATCCAAAAGACCCAAGAGGTTGATGATAAAGAGGAAGTATGCCACCCAGGTGCAGTGCCACACACCTATAATCCCAGAGGCTCCCGAGGCTGAGGCAGGAGGATCGTGAGTTCCAGGCCAGCCTCAGCAACTTAGCAAGGCCCTAAACAACTCAGCAAGACCCTGTCTCTAAATAAAATATTTTTTAAAAGGGCTGGGGATGGGGCTCAGTGGTTGAACACCCCTGGGTTCAATCCTTGATGCACCTGTTTTAAAAGCACCTGTCACCTTGGTGGGGGGTAACTCAAGCGTCCTCACAAGGTACTCTGCCCACCCCGCTCCTCTTCCTGGAGGCAGATATTATTACCAGCTTGGCCCAAAATTTGTTTGAAAAATATTTAACCTATAACACCACCAGGTACTGCTCTAAGGCTGAGGACACAACAGGCCAAAGTCCCAGTGCCTGAGGGCTGACAATCCAGAGAGAAGGTGGACAGCCTCAGGTGCTGAGAAGTCCCATGGAGAAAATCAGGCATGGGAGAGAGAGGGGCTGGGAGTATTTTTGATCAAACCTCATGTTTCAGGATTTATGGGAATGATCTGGACTCTAGATGATTCTAGAAGAAAAGTAAAGAGACGGGAGAATGGATGGAACGTTGTCCCTGAGCAGGCAAGAGGAGGAGGACTGAGGAGAGTGTCTCTCATCATTGGTGGGGAATATGCGTTTCCATGTTTTCCAAAGACAGCCAGAACCATCTCTCCATCCTGCATTCTCAGGGCATGATCTTGACACTCCTCCCCCTGAACATGGGAAAAAGTTCTGTCAACCAGCAACACATGATGGGCTCCGTCCCCCATCACCGGGCTCTGCCCACCTGCTCTCATGGGCCACTCACTCTGGAACCAACCCATCTGCCATGCTGGAGGGACCTCACTCACACAGAACAGAGAGGTCCCAGGTAGGAGCCCTGGCCACCAGCGTGGCTGAGAACGGCCAGCATCAACCCTGGACATGAGCGAGATACTTCCAGTGATTCCTGCCCCAGAATCACCCCCAATCGGCCAGTGCTGCCAGCTGCCACTTAAGACATTGGGGAGCAGAGACCAGCTGTGCTTCCTGCACCCTGTTCAGGTCCCTAACCTGCCCAGCTGGTGGATGGAACACAAGGTGGTTTCACACCACTGTTTTCTTCCTTTGTTTTTTTTGGTTTTAACTGGAAGACCAAGGGATAGGGAGGATGTCAGGGAGGCGGGTAGATGGGTGGTTGGAGTCTGAGGAAGCTTTTTTTTTTTGCCCCCACTGGGTGCTTTTCTCAGTGAAGTAGGAACCAGGGCTCCCATTAAAAGTGAAAAGACTGGGTGTGGTGGCACACACCTGTCATCCCAGCACCTTGGGAGGCTGAGGCAGGAGGATCTCGAGTTCAAAGCCAACCTCAGCAACTTAGCAAGAACCTGTCTCAAAAAACAAACAAACAAATAAATAAATAAATAATACAAAAGGCTCAGGATGTATCTCATTGGTAGAGCACCCTGGGTTCCATCCCCAGGACCACAAAAACAAATATAGACAGGAAAGAGGGACAGTAGCTGGAAGACAGGGGGACAGTGGGAGTCTGCCCCTGATGGCAAGAAGCCAGCCCAGCAGGTGGTAGGAAGGGATCCAAGAGCCTCCAAGCTGGAGGGTAGCTCCTCCCGCACTATTTCTATCTCACATCACTCTAATTCCACCCAAGGGCTTCCGGCTGGTACAGCCCTCACTACCCTGAGGATGTGGTGTTGTCATGGCAACCGCATCCTTAGCACTTTGCACAGGGGTAGGGTCTGGCATCCGTCTCCATGGAAACAGCCAGGCCTGTGTAGTGGAGAGATCATCCTCTGGAAGACCTTCCCCCGCTGGGAACCCCTCTCCCACCAGCCTCACCCCTCCTCTCGGAAGGCCTCCAGAATTGTTCCAAATCCCTCTGCCCCACTCACTCTGGCTTCTACCCTGAATCCTTGATCCTGGGAGGGAGAAAGAAGCCTAGGGTGTTGGGTGGGAGTAGGGGTATCTGAGATAGGTCACCAGGAAAAGCATTTTAAATATTTATTCATTCAACCAATGTTTATCCAGGGGCTGGGGATGTGGCTCAGGGGTAGAGCACCCGCCAGGCGGTAACAGCTCCAAACTTCAGGACTGAACAATTTTTATTTTTTTAGTACTGGGGATTGAACCCAGGGGTACTTAACCACTGAGCCACATCCTCTCCTTTTATTATTTATTTTTTTATTTTGAGACAGGGTCTCATTCAGTTGCTGAGGCTGGTTTCGAACTTGCAATCTTCCTGCCTCAGCCTCCCAAGTCGCTGGGATTACAGGTGTGCATCACAGTGTCCAGCCCGAAAAAAAAAAAAAAAATATATATATATATATATATATATATTGAGGGCCTACCACATGCCAGGAATATGCTAGCTACAGGGATTTAGTGATAGATGATACAAAACTCAGGCTTTGTGGAGCTTACATTCTATTAATAGGAGGGAAATGGAGAATCATTAGACCAGGAAAACATATGGGGCAGTATGTCTGCAGAAATATAACACAAACTCCAGACATGATGTCATGATGTGTGTGTGTGTGTGTGTGTGTGTGTGTGTTGTGTGGTCCTGCGATGGAAACCACACACTCAGCATGCTTTCTACCATTGAGCCACACCCCAACCCTTTACATAGGTAATTCTTAATTTTCTGGTAGCCACATTCAAAAACCAAAGAGAAAGATGTGGAATTAATTTGATAAAGCATTTTATATAACCCAACTTTGGTACCCAGAATAACGTTCTAATTCCCAAGACCACAGCAGAGGGACTCAGCAGGTGTGACTAGGACCTAGGTGGGAGATAAGCCTGCATGCTCTTGAGGGGCTCCATGTCATCACAGGGGACTTGTCAGGGAGAGAGTAGACTGGGGACAGGAGAAAGACAGAGGCAGAGAGGCCGGGCGGGAAGCAGAGGAAGTAGAGGTTCAAATGGTTGGGGCGGTCTTAGGCCAAGAGTGTGGACAGCTTCTAGAAGCACATTACTTAATATTTGTTGGGGGTCTGGAGCTCTTTTGGACATGAAGTACAGAGTGAAGACAGAAATCCTTGCCATATATATATATATATATATATATATATATATCTGTCAAGTGCTCCACCACTGATCCACAGCCCCACTCCCAACCCTTATTTTATATTTTGTATATATATAATATGTAAGCAATATGTGGTGATAAATATGATCAAAAGACATTTAAAAAGTAGTTGTCAGGCACGGAGTTGCAGGCTTGTAATCCCAGCAGTTTGGGAGGCTGAAGTAGGAGGATTTCAAGTTGGAGGCTAGCCTTAGTAACTTAGTGAGACCCTGTCTCAAAATAAATAAATAAATAGGACTCGGGGTGTAGCTCACTGGTAGGGAAAAAAGGTAAAGAAGAAATTTTAAATATAGGTTATAAGGTATATGGTGACATGATACGAGAGAGAAGGACCTTAATGGCAAGGTCAGGAAGGCCCAGCTGAGGAGGTGATGGATGAGCAGAGACCTGAGGAAGTATAGATATACAGGGCAAGAGCATTCCAGGGAAAGGGCAGAGCACATACAAAGGTCCTGAGGCAGCACTGTGCTGGGGAAAGTCAAGGAAGCCAGTGTGCACAGATGGGGTGAGTGAGGGGAAGTGGGTGGGAGTGGGTTCGAGAGGGACCAGGGAACTTGTGGTTGTGCTGAGGACTTTGGCTTTTATTCTGAGTGAGGCAGGAGGGATTTGAAACAGGGGACTGATGTCCTTGTGCCTGTCCAGGATTCTGCTGCCACGAGGGAACTTTCTGTTGGCAGCAGGGATGGGGGGGGCAGGGATGGAAACCGCAAGGAGGTGCCTGCAGTAGCCCAGGCAGCTGGAGTAGCTGCAGGGGCTGGACTTTGGACACATTTTGAAGGTCAAGTCAACAGGATTTCCTGCTGAATGGGATGTGGGGGGAGAGGCTGAGGGGAGTGTGAA